CGTTTTCTTCTTGTGAAGGGTACAGCTTCTGTTGGACACCGTTCCAAGTTTTACGGTTTTTCTTGTTTTTCATCTAGAAATTGTGTAAAGTAAAGTTCATTTTGTTGTCATGATTTCGGAAGAATTTATCATTGTATAAATATATTATTATCTTGCATTTCTATTGTCTTTTGTATTGTTCTGGAGCATCAGTTTAAGCGTTATGTTCCATAAAAACTGTACATGTATTGTGCGCTCTCACTGTATGCCCTGTACAACGGGTGCTCGAGGCTTCTCAAGTGAACAGTTCCACTTTTTCTCGAGTCCTCGTGTTCCACAACACACAAACTTGTGGATGAAATAAACTTTTATTTGATTTGATTTGATTTGATTTGATTGCCGTAACGATTTTTTGTTGCAGTATTTATAAGCCTCGAGCTGGATGCAACTCCTAACATAAACAGGCAATTCTTTATGCCACCAAGTTACAAAACGTAAATGACCTCTCTCGATCGCTTCGCAAGGTTAAACAGAGGAGGTGAGAGAAACGGCTGTCGTTCAGATTCCGCCACCCAGTAAATGGATCCTTCTGTCCTACCACTTACTTCAGGTAACAGTTAGAAATGTTCCGAAGCTCAAATGCAGAAACTTCAACCTTCCCAGCTCATCGCGTCGAGACCGGTCTTACTCGGCCCAGCGAGCATTAGGTTTATCCTGCCGGCCGCGTCGGTGCATGTGTAACCGACGCTCCTTGCTTTGTGCACACAACACTTTAAAGTGTGAGAATAACTGTAAAGTATAGTTTAGGAATCTATGAACCTAAATCAACTATTTTGTCTTTTGTCGATATCTGCGCAAGGAGCGCTGACCATTGATGCGTCTCGCTTCCAGCTACGCAGGCTGTCACTGAAAGCTGCCGGCCGCACTTAGCCGGTACTTCCCTGACTGATAGGTAAAAACACAAAATTTCCAGTTGGTAATTTGGTACGCCTTCATGAATTGACTCCTTAGAATACGTTTTCTGTTCATTGCATTAGTATTTCTTTGGGCGGTCTTTAGTTGCTGGTATTGATAAAACTCTACACAAATCTCTACACGTACACTGCCAGCAGAAAGCAGAAAAACACTGTCACTCGATATCGCCACTTCAAAAATGCATGTCTGGCAGTGATTGACCTTCACTTACTCCAAGTACAGTTTAGGTAACATTTAGAAATGTTGCGAAGCTCAAATGCAGAAACTTCAAGCATCAGAACTCTTCTGCGTCGAAAGTGGCCTTACCTGGTGCCCCGTCCCAGCGAGCATTAGGCCTATCGTGCCGGCCGCGTCGGTGTACATGCTACCAGTGCTTTTATCTTTAAGTAGGCACAATTTGAAAGTGTAAGAATGACTGTAAAAAAGAGTTTAGACATCCCTGAGCCTAAATCAACCATTTTTCATCGTATGCGGTGCCCGCACAAGAAGCGACGACAATCAATCAATTTTCAGCAACGCAGGCTGTCATTAAAAGCTTCCTCCCGAGTGTAGTAGCCAGTACTTCTTTGACTCGTATGTAAGAACACGCAATTTAGAATTGGTAATTTATTACGCCTTAGCGCTCTAACACACTGGCATACTTGTTCAGCGGATGGCATTCTTCGTGGATTTTTTTCGGCGGTTTCTTAGTTGCAAGTATCCATATAACTGCAAATCCGTACACTGGCACGCCGGCTGTATACTGCATGGTATATCGTCACTTGCACGAAAAAAAAATATCCAATATTCTATCGTGTGTGCACATATGTAACGAGCAAGTCAGTTTAGATCATCTGTACATCATCTGTAATAGGGGCACGACGGTAGCACATCTAAGCGAATTTGTGGAAGCGAGCAATGCCTTCGCCCTCACTGATTCTCAGGGAGCCGCAACGTCGACAGCAGTGTCCGCGCCCGCCTTCGACGTCAATCAAAGCCTTTCCAGGCAGCAACAAAAGGAGCTCAAAGCCTTACTCCACCAATACAAGGACTGCTTCTCGTCGTCGTCGAGGCTTCGTCAGACCCCTCTCGCGAAACATCGCGTCATAACCGACGAATATGCCCGTCCGCTCCGTCAGAGCCCCTACCGAGTTTCTGCACGGGAACGCGAGGCCATCAAGCAACAAGTCGACGAAATGCTGCGTGACGACATCATTCAGCCGTCTACGAGTCCGCGGGCATCACCCGTGGTGTTGGTGAAGAAGAAGGATGGAACGCTACGTTTTTGCGTCGATTATCGTCGCCTGAACAACATCACGAAGAAAGACGTGTATCCCCTCCGACGGATAGACGATGCTCTGGACAGACTCTACAACGCCAAGTATTTTTCGTCGATGGATCTCAAAACCGGCTACTGGCAAATCGAAGTAGACGAGAGAGACCGAGAGAAGACTGCCTTCATAACACCAGACGGCCTATTCGAGTTTAAGGTCATGCCCTTTGGTCTTTTCTTTTTTTTTCCGTCGGCCGACGACTGTTCACGCCGCTTTTGCTATGAGTTGTGTTTGGCCCCGTTTTGCTGGGCACAAGTTCGCCCAATAAACAGTTCGCCTGACACCGCCCTGACTCCTGCGTGCTTCCTCTCAAGTGCTGCGTGTATCACAACCTCGTGACATGTTGCCAGTAGCAAGTGCGATAAGTGACTATGAAAGGGAAAAAAATGTCGGCAGCAATAGCCGTCAATCTGGGGCTGCTCCTCCAGTCAATTTGGGATTTTTCAGAGTTAAAACTTAAATTCTTCAAAAAACTTTTCGCTCTTGCCAATATGCTCACGTCATTCGGGGCCCGAAAGCCGGTAATCACTGTTGATTCAACACGCAATTGCTATTTGGAAAGGAATACCGCGTCAATCTTGTTTGACTGTGCAATTTGTAAACGTGAAGTTGAACGGCACGTTCTTAGGACAGCTAGTCATTCTACAACACAACCCACATGTTCTGGCGTGCGTAGTGGGTAGAGTACTAGGATTGTAATTCGAAGGGGACAAGTTCGAATCTGGGAGTTAAAAATTCTTTTATTTTTATTGTGAATGTGCGCAAAATCACTTCTTTTGATTTTATATTTATTTATTTATGGCGAATGGGCATTCCTGTTTCAACCCTGTGACGGTATTTTGCGCAGAGTACCCAGCGCCTCCCTGCGCTGGATCTTGGACGCTGCCGCGGCAGCGTCCCAGTATTAGCGCGATACTGGTCCCATATTCAGGCATGGTGCTGGACGCTGGTACCCAGTGGCACTGGTTTTCGCAATAGGGCGCGGCATTTGGCATCGCTTTCTTTTTCCTCAAGACCTCAATGAAGTTGATACTAACTCACTCACTCGTCTGCTTGGAAAAGCAGTGAAAATAGCTTTCATTGTCTAGAAACGTATGCGTCCTCTATAGAGTCATCACACTAAAACGCTCAGTAACATTTCGCGGTAAAAACGTACATTGCCATCGGGTGTCAACACATGTGATTATCATAATGATTCAATGGTTTAAAGCCGGCTGATCGTTACCAGTGGCACTCACATTACCACGCGTATACTCTTAAGATCCCATACCTGGTGCATTGCAAGTTCGAAGACATTTCACGCTTATAATTACTGGTATTTTAAAGCATGCTAACGCATACACCAAATGCAGCTATATGCGAAAAAATTTACTGACACAAGTCACTTTGAACTTTCAATTGCATCGTACAAAGAAGTGCAAATCTGCAATTCAGACTGTTCGAGTTCTGTGATAAAATAAATGTATCCACTAAGTTGTTCAAGTACGCACCAAAACACGATATCGCTATCACGTTCAACCCCTAAAGGCGAAGCTTAAGAGACCACCAATTTATATATATATATATATATATATATATATATATATATATATATATATATATATATATATATATATATATATATATATATATATTAAGACATGACATAGAATGGTTGCAAGTCGGCAAGCATTGCGATATACTCGCAAAGGGACGCACTAGCATGACTGCGAATTTTTCGCAGTGCATACTTGTTCCCACTTATGACTCGCTATTGTATTTTGGGGTAAAAGTGGGCAATAAACAAAGTCGTTTTAGAGTTACAATTTTATTCAGAACATCGCGTATAATATCCTGCGTGCGATCCCTGCGAGTTATCATAACGCACCTTACGTGTTATTGCACCTGTTCTATCTTAGCTGTTCACTTAACGAAACTACTACTAACTCTCTTGTCTTCATCTTACTCTCCTACTTTAAATACGATAAACTCTTTCGATTGTCTTGGTAATACTTGTAAATACTAAATAAGTAGCTTTTCATGTGTCTATTGATAGATTTCTCTTTAACCATCGCGAAAAGAGAGAATTTGTGTTCCTATATTCTCATTCGCTTACATCCTCTAATGTAGGCAATGTTTCTACGTGGCACGGTATGACGCGTTATACATTTGTGGCACTGAGGGGTAATGAATTACTTATTTTATGAAATGTCTTGATTCCGCCTGGCAGAGGTTTTCCACAATGAATAACTTTCTTTGGCACTCATCTCATAAGACAGTTTGGTAGGGTGAAAAAGTGCTAAACCACTCACATATAAGATGTTCCTTTAGTGTAAATACATGTAGCGCATTAATTAACTCTGCCAATTTTATAAAGATTGAAGCACAAATATATCACTCTGATATTCTGCCAAACAAAGATTTGGTCTTATTTCAGTCTTAGTTCACTACTGAGAGCATCCAAAGCAGTGGTACAGAGGGGTTCGTTTATTTCGCTTGTAAAATTCTTTCGAACAATAAAAACACGACTCGCTAGAAACTTCAGAACAAACGTCACTTCCATACTTCAGGTATATTTTTTTTCTGAACGATATTTGCAGAGGGCCGTTAGATAGTTACTTAACAAGGAGCCAGTAGTGGTGAACAAAATATAGGGTCCAACATTTTCCCTATGGCATCCGTAGACAAAAAAAAAGAACACCGGCATCAGTTTACTTTTATTTATTCTTTATTATGTGTGGTTTGTCCTTCTAGCGGCGCATATGGGCATCGTTCCTATCAACCTCCTCGTTGCTGAAGAAGAAAAGAATCAGCTCCTTGAAGACGTCACGACGCTTGTCAAGGAAATACATGGCCCCGGATCTGACCAGTCACTTTTCCGGAACTATGTCATCATGGCTACAAAGTATTAGAAGCTGCTAACTCGATGCATGCATCTAGGAAACTCCTCTTGTAAGAATTTATTCGTGTAATCTTAGTTTTCGAAAAGAAGGCTATTTTGCCTTAGCTACTGTACTCGTCGGCTTCTTAGACATTTCAATATCTTGTATGTGTATTTTGCTTTCTGTTTAAACTCGTACCTAGACACATTTATTTAACACTTGCACTTATACAAATCGATGGTACCCATTGAGCTGAATGGTGCATTTTGATGTGATGGAAACTTACTTGAAGATACGCGTGTCCTGGAAACCAATTTAAATACTCATTTGGCATCAAGTATCTGTGTCTCAATACGTCTTCCAAACATGTATCAGTATCTGTATCTCCAATAGCTTGAATAACTTATCAGATAATTCAAGATGCAAGACAGTGTTGTGGCCGCATCACCATGCGAAACAGCAAACGTCGGCTGCCCTTTGCTTCTCATATCATGATTACTTATTCCGTGAAGTGATCAAATGAAAAAACAGCGACATTCTTTTATCTTACCGCAATCCGGCTCCGACGGAAAGTGCAGTTGATTAGGCCAGCATGTCCCTTTCCGTGAAGCCGTAAAAAAAAAAAAAAACACGTGAACGTCTACACGCAGTCAACTATTGCATGGCTCTCTGCATTTTTTTTTGTTATAGAACTGAACACTTGCTCCTTGTCATTGTAATCTGCCAGCACACAAATAAAGCGGACAAGAAAAGACCTTTGACATTGGTAGGTCCCGAACCCAATATCAACGAATTACGTGACCGACACTCTAGGCATCGCTCTTCGAAAATTCCCCCGTTTGAACCTGTTTCACAATGTTACCACTCAACTCTTCATGGTACATTAATTTTTCCAGCGCACTGCACGCCACGGCACTTTTTTTTTTCCATAAAATAAGTGTCAAATTTTCGAAAACCCATATATTCTCTCAATCATTCTTGCAACGCACCATGTTCAAGTGGAACCACTCTTTTGCTATAATCACATCATAAACAACAACCAACGTTTTTGCGAATTCCTAACCACTGCCTCTCGAATGAACAACTGTTTTATTTTATTGGTATTTTTACTCACCACCCTCAATGATACCTCTCACCTTCAAGGCTCAAAGAAATAAAGAACTAATAATGAATTCAGCCGGAGCGGCATTTACTTCCTCATCAGATTTATTAGGTATATATGTGCGTTAAACTTTCAGCAAGCCTGAAAGGTCTGATGTGTCGTAACAGAAAGTTTCAACACAGCTGCAGCCAAGTTTTAGCGAAGGTTCAGGAAACGTTCAACGTCGCTACACCCAAGTTCAAGCAACAGCTCAAGAACGCTACAGCCAAGGCCAAACCGAGTTCAAGCAAAAGTTCCACAGTGCTACTTATATGTTCCACCTAAGTTGGAAAAATAGTTCTGCCAAGATACCGATATAAGCAAGCATGAGCCAGTCAGCTTCAAGGCGTGTCAAGTATTACAATTTTTAGTGCAGGATTAGAGCCATGCGTCATTGTGAACAGCTTTATGCTCAGTAACCACCCTGTAACTAGGCAATCCGGAATTAAATGAAAAGAATATAAATCATTTCATTAGTATTGAGGCCTACACCACATCGACAACCCCGGTTGCCCACACATTCCGTTAAGTAGCGCCCTTATCATAAATACCGCCTGCTTGGCTGATAGGGGGCACGTTGGCGTCTAAGGGCTGCAGAACTTCCAACAAATGTTAGCAATTAACGCCGTTTTGCAAGTATCAGAAAAACGCTCTGTCTTAGAAATCGACTCCACTGAAGGAATAACTCTCACATGAGCAGCGTTTCATCCAGTAGTGTGCAAAAGCAACAGACAGGGCCCATCGAACCGCGTAGTAAAAAAAACAACACATTATCGAATCAACAAATTTTTTCCCTAATTGAATGAGCTAAAAGAGCCCCGCGGTCTTACAGCCTTCAGGAAACAAGCTATCCGACAGAGTAATCATCGCTGAATTACAACCAGTACACTTTCCCGCAGATTGCACAACTTGTTTTGACTGCATGCAGCTTCGAGCCGTCGTTCTCCAGACGCGGAAAGCCGTTTGAAAATCCCACGGACACTCTCTTCAGCCGCGCGCTCATGACGTTTAACAGTCACTCAAACCGCTATCGAACGAACCGATCTGACTACTGAAGGTTAGGCAAGAAAAAAAAACGCATGAAATTTCCTTTTGAACCACGACTAACTGCACCAAAAACGCTAATCGGCTGCTGACATGTGTATTGGATGTATTTGTTTCACAAACTCTGAGATTTATTCACTTATTTATCATAGCACCGACATCACCCAAGGACTTTACAGAAGTTACCCAACGTTCACTTTCCGCTTGCTGGCTCGGAAGTGACAAATCGTGTTGTCACAGGACGATCCTCTGGGCGGTTTCGCAATGAGGAAAGAAACAAAGGCAATGAACTGGCGCTACGTGTTCTATAAACAGAGACCAACCTGCGGACGAGAACAGACCTTGCTGGAAAAAACTGCGAGTTCTTTTTTTTTTTTTTTTGCCGCAGAAACGCTTGGCCCGGCGACGCTAGCTTTAGTAGCCACTACTAAAATCGCAAGGGAATTGCATGTGCTGTAAGTGAATCGCATGTGCTTCGCGATTCCCTTGTTTAGAGACACCATGCTTTCAATAGCAAGATCATATCAGGTGAGTACTATGAATAATGACACTACAATATAGTACAAATAAGAGCTAAGTAATATAAACCTGTTTTGAAAGAGTACTTAGAGTACACCTCATCTAGTTATCATAAAATCTTAAGTTCGGAGACAAAACGACACGGCTAAGTTTCTAAAAGTAAAGAAATAATTACGCACTGAAAGAATCATTATTTATATTTTTTAGTATTATCGTTGAGGATTTAGTTGTCGGCGAGTGCCTCATTTCGGAGCACTACCTATGGAGGGTAAGAAAATGTGGTACTTTGTCAGTAAGGCAATGACGATTAAAGGCATATTATTCAAGCCTCCAAACACAATTTTTATACAAGTCTATTGTACGAAAGGGTCTTTCTTTTCAAGCTTCGCGCCTATAGAAGCAAGGTCACACTATAAATGCATCCTGCACGTTTTTGTGTTTTTTTTAACACAAAGGTAATTCATACCGCAGTCCACCACGGCTCTGCTGACGTACTTCCGTCACGTAAGTGACGTAGGAGCATCAAGTTTAAATTCAATGGCATCGAGCCGAGTATCGACAAATGAACAAGTATTCACAAACCGCCTCACGTCTTTTTTTTCTACACCGTAGTTGAATAAGCCAGAACTCGAACGCGAGTAAAATTAAGTCCTAGGATTTCTTGCGTCATCGCAAACACACGATCTCATGATGAATATCGCGCCAAAGGAACATGCACACACTTCCGGATTTACGTTGTGCACCAATTCGCCCATCACAACACAATCTGCACACACACCACGTCGTCCATTGTAAAACAAATCGCGTTTACGTTGCCAATATCCGCGAAAATATTTGGCAACAAAACGCTCAAACATTTCGGCGTCCGTCATGCCTGCGGCGCACGGACGGCTCAATCTGTACACAGCGGGGCTTCAGCGCGGCACCGCTAACGAATGTTTCTCGCGTCGTTGTAAAAGAGGCTTGCACCCCACTCCCGGAATAAAGTAAACACCACTGCGTCCATCGTAAAACGATCTGCACAGCCACGCGTTCAGCGAAAAATCCAAATTTCTACGGCGTACGGCTACAACCAGCTTCACAAAAACCATTCTCAGGACGCCGCCATCTTGCGTAAAAAGAAACAAAAATAAACACTACCAACCGGAAGCGTGTTTAGATCACTTGACCTCCTTCAGCCAATAGCGGCGCCGCATTTTTCCCATACATCTCTTGGGATATGACAAGGACACGCGCGGACACACGCGGACCGACGCCCATGACGTGGCAACGCCGGCATGACGAAATGAACGCCGGTGAGCACGCGCACCACGTCACGTCGAAATTTATGGGAGCCTTCACTGTGGCATGTAGTCATGCTCTCACATGACACGCATCTCATGATTGTCATGTTTGCACCAGTCACATACCTACGTCATCGGTTGGCGTCACGTAATACCACATTTGGCATATATGAAGCTAGTGAAACGGCCACGAGCGCATCATCATTGTAGCATGCAGTCATGTTGTTACGTGAAACATATGTCGTGATTATCATGTTTGAATGTGTCATTTACCTATGTCGTCTGTTAGCGTCGTGTAATGCCGAGTTTGTTACTTGTGAAGCTAACGAAACCGCCGCAAGCACATCATGAGCGTAGCATGTAGTGAAGCTGTTACATGACACGCATCTTATGATTATCATGTTTGCACCAGTCACATACCATCGTCATTCATTCACGTCTTGTAATACCAAATTTGGTATAAGTTAACCTAGTGAAACGACCGCCAGGGCATCATGAGTGTGGCATGTAGTCAAGTTGTTACATGGCACGCATCTCGGGTCGAATTCACAAAGCTTTCTCTTGGCTACGCATTTTCTTAGCCAAGAATTCTCTTATCTGGAGGGATTACTATAGCGCGGGTATGAATTTAACTTATTCGGCACTTAAGAGGGCGAGAAGGACACACCGTAGCCGATGAAACGACAAGGAAAGAAAGAAGTATGTGCCGATAATATCAAGATAGCACGCAAAGCGTCTAGCATCGAGAGTATACGATAATAGCCAATGATTTGCTGCATCTACGTTTGTACAGCGCTTACGGAATGCCGCGTACGTTGTAATACACGGAGGAAGGAAAAGGTAAGGAGAGGCCCTGACGTCACTCGTTGTGAAGCCGCGATGAAGCTGGAAGTCGGCCATATTGAGTAGGCAAATTCTCCTCTCTTGTTTACATATGAATGCGAAGCAGAAGGCGCGACTCTCTCTCCGGCTCGGAAAGCACGTGGGCTGCGCAGCGCGTGTGTCGTGACGATCTGAAACTAATGGAACTGGGCTCATCACTCAGAGCCAGCGGGACACCTTCAGCGAAATCACTTCGTCCGAGTAATAACAAAGAGTAACAGCTCGCTGACAACGAAGCAACTACGAAAGAACGCGCTAGATGCACTGACAACGGCGAGTGCTTTCACGTCATTAGTTCAGCAACTGTACAGA